CCCAACTCTCTAAGTCTGTCCCTGATCCCTTAATAGGTTTTCAATGGTAATTAAATCAAGCTGCTCCATGCTCTTAGGAGCGGCACAGTCCAATCTTTCCCCAAAGACAAGGCCAATCTCATGACGAGCTGAAGTCATCAAAACATCACGGAAGCTGGACTGTGCACAGGCATTAAGTCAGGAGACAAAGCAAAGACATTTATCACCCCACGTGGGAAGGCTTGCTGGGGGCAGAAGCACAAACGCAGCCTGAACCGAGTCGGCGCGAGGCGAAGGAAGGGGCCAGGCACTCTGGTACCTTTGTTCTGCGCTCGCGTCCTGGCTGTCGTGCTGCAGGAGGTGGTAGCTGTGTCGGTGATAGGAAGAGCTCTTGTGTTTTTCTTCAACCTCGTCCCTTGGGCTACAAGGGGGAAAAACGAAAATAGCATCATGAAAGTCTGTTCCAGCTCGGCTATGTGCTCACTCCACTTCTCAGGCGGGATCCTGATAGAAGGTCTAAACCAAGTTAAAACCCCCACATCTATCCGCGCAGATCCAGAAAGCTGCAGGTGCTGTTCAGAGGCACTAAACTGCATTTTCTGGGAGCCCTATGAAGGGAGAAGCAGCTCAGTTCTGCTTCAGGCACTAACCAACAACAATCTCCCCACAAATATTGACGCAAGACAGGCAAGGCACTACTCAAAAAGGGCAGGACAGCACACTTCACTGAAAAGCATCAGCTCGGGCTTGGCTTTCCTCCAGTAATACCAATCTTGCTGGGGCAAAAAATCACCAGCCCTTCTCAGTTCTCTCGAGTGTCGGTGGAAGCGCACGAATTTCATGGGTTAAGATCTACCAGACAGAACAGAACTGTGACAGGGAATCCAGGCCAACTTTCGTAAAGATTCTGAAAGCAAGCTGCACGCGCTGCTAAGCTGTAAACTATGTGGATTCAGCTTGCAGGAAGATCTGTCGCCAGACGTGAGCGTTTGTTACTTGCACACAGGCTGATGGCTTGAGTGAGCTGGAAGGTAAAAAAATAAGCAAACGAACAAATATCTCTCAGATCCAGAGATATCCGATATTCTCCTGGAGAATTCAAAGACAAAGGGGGACTGAGGGGAGCGGTGAACTCTTCTAGAAGTATTTTCTCCACTTCAAAGGATGAGCAAAAGCAAAACTGAGACTGTTTCCTGGAGCAGCGTCTTCTGGTGGGGAAGCACAAGGTGAGGAGGCCCTTTCTCATGGGAGGGAACAGCCCTGGACAGTCTGAGGCCAGCTCTGACACCCTCAGCCTGCCTGTTGTGTTGGAAGGGAAGGTGTTTGCAGCCCTGGAGGTGCCAGACGCATTTCCTTGCTTCAGTCCCATGACACGAGAGGGACACAGGTCACGGTTTGTTCCTGGCAAGCAGGCATTACAAGATACTGCCCCATTCTGCAGCCCCCTCCACTGCCATTCTGACTTTTAAAGTATTCACTTATAATTCTAGAGGCATGGGTGGCCAATCCTAGAAGGGAGGTACGCAATCAACCTATAATCAAACCTGTCAGTTATGTGCTAATTGGTTCCTTTCAATCGTGCACACAGGAATGCATCGCCTGGGGCAGGATTTAACTTGTACTGCTTTTATTTCCAGAGTAGAAAAAAGAAAAAAAGAATATCCTATCTCCATTCCCAGCAATAAAGTAGACTTTTCACCTTCTGAAGAGAGGTCCTTTATGCTGCAACAGGTATTGGACAGTACAAGTTGCTAGAGCTCACTTAGGAAGTTCAGGATACAGAGACCAAGCACACAGGAAGGCCAAATCATCAGATCCTTTAAGGAAAGGAGGGATGGAGAACCACCAAGCACGACATCCGAACTTTTCACCAAGCGAGCAATTTGGCAAGCACCAAGAACTCGCCCTGAGCGAGGCCAACCCAAGGAATTACCTGTCTGCCATGCTGTTCCTGGTTTCTCTGGTGATATCGGGAGCTGCCGGCCATGGCTGACTCACAACACTGTCAGAAGACGCGTTTTCCTGAGTTAAAGCAGTCTCCAGTAACGACGGAGCGTTCAGTCTGTCCACCTCCACTGGAGGCATGTCCAAAGAGTGGTGGCTGTGCTCTGAATTGTGCCGGTTCCTCGGAGACAGCAAATGCAAGGCCGAGGCGGCGGATGCCATACTGTCTGCGTGATGCCCGGGCTCCAGCACCTCGGCGGGGAGCCCCGACGGAGCTGCCGCAAAGCTGCGTTGCAAGGTCTCGGAAGCAATCTCCGGGATGTCTTGGGACATGGCCGTGGAAGCAGATGAAATGACGTCCGGCGAGCGCTCGCGGGTGGGAGAAGCCTGGGGAACCACCAAAGGCTCCACCTCCTGCAGTTCCAGGGCTAGGGAGGCATTTCCCGGCGGGACCTGAATTAAAAAAACAGCAGAATAAAAATAATCAAACGAAAGCTGTCAGGGTAGGGTGGAGGCACCCCAAGAACTTCCGATACCTTACACCAACTACCCCTGGAAACAGTCAGCTGGATCCTTTCCTCATGTGATTCTCCTGCTCTCAGCAGATGGAGAGGAGCCCCCAGGCTTGGAACAGGCTCTCAGCTGAGCTAACAACACTTAAGGCAATGCTAGTTTGAACACACTTTCAAAAGAAAAACCTAACACCAGTTCTACCTCCTTGCTTCTGCTCCAGGATCCCTTCTCCTTGAGGCAAAAAGTTAAGTTTTCAAACTGAGCATCTCCCGAACTGAAACCTTATTTCAATTTCAAGCTTTGTTCATCACTCCTGGAAAGAAAAACTTAGCAATAGGTGTCCTGTTTCGAGCCAAACCAGAACCAATTCTGTTCAGTGTTTTCACTTTTCAGCTCAGTCTCTTCTAAGAGGCCACACTTTCCGAAGATGACAACGTGTTTTTGCAGACAGTGCCCCTGTTGCTAGAAGTGATAACACCTGGTGTTTGTAGTTACTACCAGGGATGGGGATGCAGAAAGGCTCTGGCTGATACTTGCTTCTATAGTAAGCAAGGTCACTGTGAAATCTTATGGGTTATGTTGGGGTGCCAGGAAGTAAAAGAGGTCACAAGGAAGTAAAAAGCTCACACATCTGGGGAGGAATAGACAGGACAGGTAACCCAAACCCATTCCATAAACGTCACAGTATAAAGCTGAGGAATCATGGCGGTTGAACCCTCTTCTCCAATGGCTGGCGTCCAAGGAGGACTCTCTCTGTTCTTCTGCTCTTGATCTCAATCCCAAATTCCCAAGCCCAGCTGCTGTACGAGCCAGCAGTGTGACCAGGGGCACATGGCAGCCAACAGCACCCTGGCCTGGATCAGCAGGAGCGTGGCCAGCAGGAGCAGGGCAGGGATTGTCCCCCTGTCCTCATCACTGGTGAGGCTGCACCTCGAATCCTGTGCTCAGTTCTGGGCTGCTCAGCTGGAGAAGAGGAGGCTGAGGGGAGACCTCATCGCTCTGTGCAACTCCGTGGCAGGAGGTTGCAGTGAGGTGGGGTCAGTCTCTTCTCCAGAGTAACAGCAACGGGACAGAGAAAACAGCCTCAAATTGCACCAGGGGAGGATTAGATTGGATATTAGGAAAAATTCCTTCCCCAAAAGGATTGTCGAGCCCTGGCACAGGCTGCCCAGGGCAGAGGGGGAGTCCCCATCCCTGGAAGGATTTCAAAGATGTGGTGCTCAGGGACAGGGGCAGGGGCTGGG